AGTGAGACACTGTATTATTCTTTTTTATTATATGAGTAACCATGTATAAATGCTGGTACCACTTCTAGTCACTTTCTAGGCTTGCTGTAGCCTTCACTCCAGGTGGTGACTTTAAGCAATAGAAGTGTATTGTCTCAAATGGAGGCTGAGTTTGAGGTCAAGGTGTTAGCCATGTTGACTACTTCTAGATGTAGAAGAAGGTAGAATTTGTTACCTGCTTCACACTTTGCCTCTATTAATTCCAGGAGTTAGGTAGCATTGTAGCTAAGAGTGGCATGGCATACCTCCTCTGTTCTCAAGTCTCTGGACACTCTGTTACAATGATCCCAGTCATAACTCAAACTCACTCACTGCCGTCAGGTTGGTGAAGACTCCTAGTAATCCTACAATACAGGGGAGAGGTGTGCCTGTGCATTTACATGACTGTAACTCTGCCCCAGTAGAAAGCCCGTCTTTCTCTCCAGTAGCAGCTTTTGGTTTTGAATTGCTGACCTTGCAGTTACTAGCCCAACGAGTAACTGTTATGTCACCAGTCATAAAATACAGGATCCATCATATCCTAGTATGGCCTTATGTTAACTTGATTACATATATAAAGACTGCATTTCCAAACAAGATTGTTTTTAAATATGTAGGAGTTCGTCGACATATCTTTTGAGGGACTAATTTAATCCATAATACTATCCATTTGGGGGAAAACAGCTATCTGGGTAATTTCTATTTCTATTAATGTTAGAAACATGATTGCTAAGGTTCTTCAATATTATTGGTTTAACAAAATGTTAACTTGACTTAAAAGTCCTAATTTTTACATTCCTCTGTTAAAATTCTTGGAGTATAGTAGAATGCAAAAGAGAGTTTTCACAAAGGCATGGATCCAGACAGAAGGCCTGTGTGTGAATCGTGTTGTGGTTGTTCTTGGATACCATCTAGTGGTTCACGACTGACAGTGAGCCTCTGCATGACCAACGGAAACCCTGCCCGGCCCTGGGCCACACTCACACCTGGAGGCACCCACTGTGGCAGTCCATGTGGCCAACGGTCTTTCTCGTTTTTTGCACACCTGCTACTACACCAAGGTGATGTCCTTTTCTAGAGTCAGTCTCTCCTGACCTCATGTCCCATGTATATACAACTCAATCTCACTCCTCTTGCCTTCAGGAGCATTCTAGCTGCACGTCTTCAAGACAGATTTGTTTGTTCCCTTGGCAGTCCACAGTGCTCTTCCCCAGCACCAAAATTCAAGTGCAACGATTCTCCTTAGGCCTTCCTTACGCAATGTCCAACCTTTACCTGCAGATGAAACCACTGAAAATAGTATGGGTTGGATCAGGCATATCTTAGTCCTCCGAGTATCATCCTTGCTTTTCAGCACTTTAAAGAGGTCTCGTGCAGCAGATTTACCCAATACAATTTGTCATTTGATCTCTTGACCACTGCTTCCATTAGCATAAATCATAGCTTCTACTAATTATCCCTACAATGCTCCATCTTAACTGAGTACATTACTGAACCCAACTGACCTTTGGCTGCTTTCCTATAATGTGGGAATAATTATAAATATATCTGTGCCAACGATATGATCTTTTTTAATGACATTAGTCACAAAATAAATGAGACAACTCTCTGAAGGAGTTAGTTATCCTCATCATTATTGTCCTCTTTTTCATCATCGCAGCTCAAAAGAGGTTGATGGCAGCAACTTTCATGAGCACTGATTTTTTTTTTTTTTACTAAGGTACTGATTTCAATGTTTGCTATTACTGACTTCACTCTAGCTGGGACCTGTTCAGCTCACTGGAGAGGAAACTCGAAATTGGTCATTGATTAATATTCTAAAAGGAAAGTTGGTAAATAAAGTGTAACATTTCTTGTATTAACTTCGGTTTTGAAAATCGGTCTTCAAATCTGCATCTCAGAACTCACTGTCTTTAACGTCAGCGTCAGGCAGTCTCCATCCAGTCAGTGCTGTGCTTCCTGGATTTATGTGGAGGCTTACTGGGATCCACATAAATCTTGCTGCGTATCACTGCGAACCCTACACAATCAGACAAATTCTATAATTTTCCTTTTTTTCCTCTGGTAACCTTTAGCTAGAAAGAGTTCTGTTGGTGTGGTCAGGTAAACATTGGACTGACTGAAGAGTCATTGTTTTAAATCCACCAGCTACTTCCAAAGACAAGAATGAGGCTGCCTGTTCCCACGAAGATTTGTAGCTTTACAAACCATATACCCATGGTATCAATGAGTCAGAATCAACCTTAGGACAACAAGTTTGGGTTTTTATAGATAAAAATGGACAAATCTGCTTGAGATTGTATGTTTTAAATCATTTATGATAAAGAAATTACACAAACTCTGCCAAAACTCTAAATGTTTTGTGCAAGATGTGATTAAAAAATCATGTTTTGTAAAATCCTTTTCCCTTGCTAAATTGCTGAAGATTTGCTTGGTCAGCATCTTCATCAGAAAGTATTGAACACTGCCCCGAGGGCATGTGCAGCCTTTCACAAAACAAAATAGAGAAACAAATTGGGAGTGCATTAGAAAAGGCAAGCCAAGCAAGTCAGTTCCCCCGGACACATGCCAGAGAAATGAGCCGTTGACTATAGGATTGATTTGATGTTTTCCCTAGTGTGAGGTAAATGCTGAAGACCAGCCCATGTGGGGACATTATTTACTTCTACATGCTACATGTTGATTTAAAAATAAGCTAATAAATAAAATATAACTCACAGGTTAGTGCCTTGGGAGAGATCAACATAGCCACATTCATTAAGATGGGTAGCAATTTGGATTCCTGTTCTTCCACCCCTTCTGAACCCACAGAAGTTGTGGTGAGCTGCTTCCATAAGGAACTAGGCTTGGAAACACTGTGGGATATTTCTACTCTGTCCCGCAGCATCACTGTGGCTCTCAGTCAACACAAAGGCAATGGTTTTATCATTTTAAAGTTTATCTTTTATTTACATAGAGAAAGAGCCATAGTTTACATAGATAGACTGCGATCTTACCATGAAGAACAGAATGAGGGAGAGAACGGAATTCATTAATATCCCGTGGTTTGCCACACCTACTCCGGTAGCATCTGTGATAAGATGCACACACGTACGCATTCCCAGGAACCAGCTCTAGGGAATAATTCCCTGTCACTTCATATCAGCATCAATCCTTTGCATTTTTCTTGGGATGATGAAAAGTAGCACATGATGCTCATACATATTTTCCCAAGAAGAAATGCAAAGTCATATTTGTCTAACTAATCATTTATCTGCCTCTGTGATCAATAGTATGAGATAAATAATGTATATTCACAATGTTTGATGACAGAAATAATACATGCGCACGTATGTGTGAGGGAGAGGAGCCTTGGTTGTGCAGTGGTTACGTGTTGAGCTGCGATCCACGTGGTCTGCAATAAGAAGTCCCCCACAGCTCCGCGGAAAAAGACCGAGCTGTCTACCCCAGTGGTCAATTACGTCTGGGAAATGTCCAGGTGCTTGCTGGGAGTCAGCATAGACTCGATGGCAGCGAGTTATTTAGGAGATGGTGAAGATGAGCAGTGGGCCAATAACTCAAAGATACGTATTTCCCCACAGTGTATGCTTTCTAAAACTTTGCACCATATCTGTGTTCTGATTCCCCGCAGATCCGATTACACCTGTCTTTGTCCTTTGAGGTGCAAAATAACTCTTCTATTTTGCTACTGGTTTTGTATATGCTTCCAGTGGCAACATAATTTTTCTGCTGCATTTCTTAATTTATAAAACTTTAGCTATTATAAAAAATTCAATACACGAAAGATTAACAATCATATTAACCTCACGTTTCACTTCAATTATAGAACATGCACAAGCACGCACACACACACACACACACACACAAATCTATGAGTCTCTTATCATAGGTGAAGTTAGCTTTGACACGCACATTTGCATTTTTGTAATACAAGAGCCCAAGTATTCCCCTGTCAGTTTCAGTCATCCCATGTTCCCACCCAAAACCTCAATTCAGGGCCAATGTCAGCCTACACTCCTTGTATATTCCATTTTACGATATTGTAATATGGGAACATAAATGGTTACTTTATATCAAGAAGATATTAAGTCCGTGTAGGTTCTTTGACCATTAGGCTATAACATTAAGGCACCCATACAGACAAAAGGCTTAGTTACTGACAGTTCTAAACTAGAGACGTTTCAATGCAGGGGTCCTTTATAGGTTGCAGATAGGAACAAAGTTACAATAAGCTAAAATTGTTGTAAATGTCTTGTGTATGTAAGGAGAGTGGTGTTAGGAAGACTTTCTGAGATTCTGGGAACTGGGCATTTTGCAAAATCCCTCAGGTTGCAGGACAAAGGGATTCTACCAAGTGTAAGCTGTCCGTAGGCCTCTGGCAGTGCGATACGTCTGCGTGGTAACTCAGGAGGGTTGAAATCTGATAAGGGTTGGGGTGCAAGTTTTGCAAACTGCCTGGTAAGGAGAATTAATAGAGATTTTATTGTCATGATCTCAAAAAGTGGGTCAAGACAGTATTTGTGAAATATTACATTTAAAAATCCCTTAATGCTATATCTCTGGATGACAGTTGACTTTTCTGTTTTTCTCTCAAATTTTCATTCCATTTCTAATAAATGATGTCCTGCTCAAGTTGTTGCTTCTGATGTTCACTTTTTCAGAGAGAACAAAGACCTGATTTTCATATTATTTAACTCTGCATCCATATACAGCAGTGTGCTGACTTATGTTAATGAATTTATAGTCTGTGATTTATGTGTGAAATTTGAAACCAAATTTAGTTTAAACATATAATGGGTAATTATTTTTGAAATATGTCAGGATCAGACAGTGTTATACAAAATTCTGTTGTATGTAAGGTCACTGTGAGTCGGAACTGACTGAATGGGGCCTAATGACAGCACAGCTTTTAATAGAGGCAATATAAAAACATTTGCATCTGAAATTAACTGTGAGTCTGTCCCTCTTTTCCACAGAAGAGAATGTTTACATTTCATCAAATGAAACATATTTTTGAAATATTGGATAAAATGAGATGCTTGCGGAAACGTTCTGCAGTTTCCTTCTTGGGAGTTCTTGTCATTTTCCTTCTGTTTATGAATTTGTACATGGAAGATACTTATGTTCTGGTAAGTGTTGGAAGTTGAATATTTTGTTTAAATTAGGCTGAGACTTAGTCTAAGTCCACTCACTTCAATCCCAGCATACTGTTGTAACACGGTGAGCAAAATTATAACACATACATTTCCTGTCTATATTTCAATGTTCATTAAATATTTCTAATATTAAAATTGCCTTTATTTTTCAGTTATCTTTAATGTGAAGCATTGGTGGTACTGTAAGTGTTGGACCACTAACCATTAAGGTTGGCAGTTCAAACCAACCAGCTGCTCTGCTAGAAAGAAATGAAACTATCTGTCCTCAAAAGATTTACAGCTGAACAACTTATATTGAGTAGCTATGAGTCAGAATCAATTCTCAATGGCAGTGGATGGTTTGGGTACTTCAATTTAAATAATTACATCTAATTGAAAATAAACTAGTAATTTTAACTTTGGTGAATTAATATGCAAAATAATTACTTCAAAAATTTTAATTTGAAGTACATAGAATAAAGAAGATTTTGCACTAAAATTATTATTCTTACTTTTTCTAATTTTCTACTTGATAATCAAGGTTTCAAACATTTCACTAATGAAGTGAATGGTTGCACTATTGTGTTTAAGGAAATTATATCTTACTATAATTATGGTACTGTATTTGGATTTTGAATGCCTCTAAAAGACCACTATATTATACACTTATATTCACTGAAAATATGTTAAAGACTAAAAGTATTTACACATCAACTATCCAATACTTAATAGAAATAGAAAATGAGTACATACTAAATATGAAACAATCTTAAGTGAAACAGAGGTAACTTAAGATAACTTACCCTAATTATGAGAATTTAATTTATTAATTTCTGTTGTTTTTATAACTATGATATCCCATGTATGAGGAAAATAATATAGATGTTAGCATTTTTTTCAATAAGAATATATTGTTAAAAACCACACAATATTTAGCTATTATTTTTAGTCAGATATATCAATCTATAAAAATAAAAAGTTAAATTGCTATTTATTACTTAAAGATTATCTCAATTTAAATTAGTATGTAAACAATTAGTACTTTAGGAATCAAAACGTATTACTATTACGGTGCCACTTCATATATGCTGTCGTTGTTTTTGTTGTTAGGTGCCAATGAGTTAGTTCCAACCCATAATAACCCTGTGCACAACAGAATTAAACCCTACAAAGTCCTGTGCCATCTTTAGAATTGTTCCTATGCTTGAGCCCATAGTTTCAGCCTCTGTACCAATCAATCTCCTTGAGGGTCCTCCTTTGCACTGCCCATCTATTTTACCAAGCATGATGTATTGTGTATAAATCAAGTATAAGCTGGTCCGAGTATCCGCAGAGGCACCTAATTTTACAACAAAAGCTGCATTAAAAAAATGTGCTGAAACACCAGCCTGTGTTATCACTAGGTGTCGAAGGGATCAGGTAGCAGGCATCAAAGACCAAAAAATCATATCATTGTGAATGAGGGGGAATGCGAAGTGGTGACCCAAAGCCCATCTGTAGGCAGCTAGACATCCCCTTCATGGGGAGGAGACGAGCCAGTCAGGGTGCAGTGTAGCAATGATGAAACATAAAACTTTCCTCCGTCTACTTCTTAAATGCTTCCTTCCCCCAACTATCAAGATCCCAATTCTACCTAACAAATCCGGCTAGACAAGAGGATGTACACTGGTACAGAAAAGTGGGTGAAGGGGGATGTCATACAGTGTAAGCCATGACAAAATAATAATAATTTATAAATTATCAAGGGTTCATGGGTGGGGAGGAATGAAGAGCTGATAATAAGGGCTCAAGTAGAAAGCAAATGTTCTGAGAATGATGATGGCAACAAATGTACAAATGTGCTTGACACAATGGATGGATGGATGGATTGTGATGAGTTGTATGAGCCCCCAGTAAAATGATTTTTTTAAATGTGCTGAAAAACTTGGCTTATACACAAGTATATATAGTACTTGTCCAAAGATTGATGTCTCCTGGCAATCTGTCCAAAGTATGTGAGACAAAATCTTGCCATCCTTGCCTCTAAGCACACTATGGCTATACTTCTTCCAACACAGATTAACTTGTCCTTTTAGCAGTCTGTTGTACTTTCAATATTCTTCTCCAGCCCCACCATTCAAATACAGCAATTCTGCTATGGTCTTCCTTAGTCAAAGTCCAACTTCGATAAGAATATAAAGCAAGTGAAACTGCTATGGTTTGGGTCAGGCACACCTAGTTCCTCCAAGTAGCACCCTTGCTTTCAACACTTTAAAGAGGTCTTGGGCAGCAGACTTACCGACTGCAACTCTTCTTCTGATCTCTTGACTGCTCTTCCTTGAACACTGATTGTAGATCCAAGCGAGACAAATCCTTGACCCGTGCAAGCTTTTCTCTAATTATCATGCTGTTACCTATCGATCCCATTGTGAGGGTTTTATCTTCTGGAATTCCCATTTTTCTCAAGGTTATCCATAGCTTCTAATAATACACACAGTCCAAAACTTTGGCATAATCAATAAAATACCAGTAAATATAATTCTGATACTCTGCTTTCAGTCAAGATCCATCTGATCTTGGCAATGATATTCCTTGTTCCATGTCCTTTTCTGCATCTGGCCTGAACCAATGGCAGGTCCCTGTCATTGTTATCACATGATATTGTTCTGTATGTTCTGCATGTTGTTAGGTCACTTTTCTTTGGAATGGACACAAATGTAGGTCTCCTCCAACACAGTGAACATACAAAGCCACCACAGTGAGATACACTGACAGAGAAGTGAAGTTCATATGCACACAGGTTTTAACAAATGAAACTCGTTTAAGCTTATCCTTGTGATCAGTACCAAATGTTATCCTCTATCTCATTGGCCAACTATACATTAGCTCATGTAGAACTTCCTAGGCATTTCTTGTATAGCATTTTACTGGCTGTACATATTTTCTTAGTGGTATAATTATTCCATATGTATAGACTTGCCCCTGCCTATGCTTTTTTTTCTTTAACCATGAGTCCACATTTTCAGAACCTTTTATGCTAATCGCCACATCATTTTTCAATGGCTGTAAGTGCCATAATAATAGAACTTGAATGAGCATGCTTTAGTGAACAGAAGAAATTCACTAATGATAGACATTTTGGATTTTCAAAATCATGATTATAAGGCATCAAACTTAAAGACAAGAGAACAAGGTTCAGAAGACCTAGCTATTTTTATTTTACTTTACAGAATTAAAGTTTATAAAATAAGTAGGGGATTCCTCATTTAAAGATTCAGTTTTGTAGCCAAAAAAATATTTCTTGGAGCCCTGTGTAGTAGGTAGATATTAAACAGCAATTTAAAAAATAAACATATAATGTATATAAGTTCCTTATTGTTCAGTGAGTTCCTGGCTGCATGTATGAAGCAATATCAAAGTGCAATTTCAGTTTTTAAATTTCAACACACAAAAGATCATTTTCTGAAAGAAACATCTATAAATACTTCTGGAGTAGAACTACTTCAAATTTATGATGAAATAGATATAAACCAGTAGAGTATATATCCATAAGAAAATCAAACATTCTTTGTCCAGTTTTGTGAATTTTTACATAGTCCTATTTTATGAGATAGGTTTTATTAGATTCATGCTAGCTGCCTAATGTAAAAGATTTGGCTTAGCATGTGTGAAGGTTTGACACATTGTTTTACATGGTTATTCCACCGCCCTCTGGAGGCACAAGGGTCATGGTCCTTGGCTGCTAAGTGAAAGGTCTGTGGTTTGGGCACACCTGCAGCTCCATGGCATCCTGCAGTCAGCTGCCAGAAGGAGGAGCGCCCAGGAGACACTGGTGTGTCTGCACTGTCATAAAGAGCTGTGAGCAGCCACAATGAACTCTATTACACCAGCAACAGGATAATCTAGTTAAAATACGTTTTTAAAATTGTATCATATTCATGGAAAAATGAGCCCCCCACTAACATAAGTTCTTTAAACACTCTGTTTAACCAATTAAAAATCCTGGTTTATTTTTTCATAAAGTCGCCTGACTTAGTTTCTCTTTTGAATTCCAGATTGCCATATGACATGAAATTTTTGAAGCGTACATATTAGTAGGTCTTTCTGTATTCCACTTAAATTGTTTCCCAGTGAAATCTGACAGTTCAGAGAAATCAGATGAGAGCTAGGAGTAGCACGAACTCTGTTATTATTTTAGCACAATTTCTTCTGCTCTCTCTGTTATAAAATCCATGTGTGGCTTGAAATTCTGGGCATTTTCACAGGTTTAGTGTATTTGCTTATCTATTAGAGACATATCTGCCTTTCAGTGAGAATGGAAGCTGAACTTACTGTAAGACATAAATACCATTTCAAGGCAAACTAAGTAGAGGAGATGCTGCATGCCCAATCAACTTATCCTCTAGGCAGTGAGCATCTTCAAAGTAGTCACTAGGGTATATATTTAGTCTGTAGCTCGTCCATTGAATCGCATCCCCATCCAGAAAATGATTGTCATAAAGCTTTGTCTTATTACTGAGAAATGCACCATGGTGTAGCAGCTACATAAAGGAGGGATCTAGGGACAGCCTGGCTGTTCAGGTACATACCTCGGAAAAGCAGCCAACAAGACTGACTTAGGTGGAAGTTGCATTATTTATTTATGCCAAAAAGTGTAAAGAAGCTTGTTCTTCAGACATTAACAAAGTGATTTCACAGAAGTCTGGCATGTCCTTCAATAAGAATCAACACATTCCATCTTTTACAGAGAATAGGTCTAGATTTTTACCTGTTCAGTATAGGAACCTTAGGATACATTCTTAAAAAGATATTTACCATCACAGAATAGTAAAGTGAACACACCATGGGGACTACAGTAATGTTTACAGTTGTTGAGTATGACTATTAGAGTACTTGATGCTAACTTTGGCTCCAAACATTAATTTTTTATTATTCAAAAGTAAATTGTAAACATATCTTTTAAATCACAAATCAGTCAATTATCATTTGAGATATAAAAGAAAGCAACATATTTC